AAAGGAGTTTCTCAATCATGGTTTGCAAGACAACATGCAGTATTTGTGTAATTTTCTTTTCTACAGGGAAGCACAATCAAGACTAATAAGAAAACTAGATTACTGCAAAGGTGTTGAATTTGGGGGCTCTTCAAGGACAGCTAGCAGCTTATTGTAAATATTCAGGGTATTATTACTTACAACCTTATTAAAGTACTTGCTTTAAGTTTTACCACCTTTTCATTAATACTCTGCTATTCATTTAGAAACATACACGAGAAGATAAAAACACATTCTTATAAATCTTGCGTACCTCCAAAGAACGTGACTTACTAGGTTCACGCTATCACAAAGGAGCCATCTGACTACTATAGAGGTAGCTCCAGTCATATATACAGATATAAATAAATACTTTTGTAATGCTGATGAAAAGTAACTCAAGAACTATGGACTGAAAGACAGACATGCCTGAATATCAGGTATTACTAAGGATAAAATGGTAAGAGGAGAGCGTGAGACCTTTAAGACAAAATATTTGAAATAAAAACAGAAATAAAAAACGTTTAAAATGGCAAATGATTCATTGTGTACTTTAAAAGACAAACGATAGCTAAGACTCACAAAATCTTATATCTCTGTCATTATAAAAGTCTCAACCTGAAATGAATGATCACACTCTTAAATCACCAAGTTCTGGAGAATTTCCCCATGGGAATTAGTGCCCCAAGGGAACAGCTTGAAAAAGTAAAAGCTTGAAAAGCAAAGCACTGAAACGTGAAAAAGCAGTCAATTAAAAAAAAAAAAAAGCAAGCTTTGAGAGAGGTATTGTCAAAAGTAGGCTCTGAAGAGACAGTTTTACAACTTTAAATACAGTCATTTCTGTGATTTTACCCATTACTTCACTACGTGCTTCACAAACTTCAGAACACATTTCAAGTACAAAGATATTCACAAAGCACAATTCCTTTGAAAATTGTAATTTAATGATCCCCAAAAGGATATTATAATTTTCTTATCTTTGTTTTAAATTTGTTTCAAATTTCTGCATTTAGGACACACTAGTCTAGCTATGTCTTCCAAAGAGCCTGTCATTTCCATTGCTCTCAAAAGCAGATTACAAAGAAAGAAAACCATACTCTCACTGTCTCTTTCCGACAAATGACTCAAAAGCACCTCTCCTCCAGGCATTGAGACAGCTCTGACTGCTGATCTACAACAACAGAAAACTAGTTGCATAAAAACATGTACCTGAATCAAATGGAATACTAAGAAAAAAAGCAAACAAAATCTCCTGATTTGAATAGGTAACAACTCTTCAACAGACAACTAGATGAGTTTACTTAGAAACTAGAAGAAGGTGATAACAGTGATACAGAACTAACTGTATTGGTGGCAACAGCAGCCAGTAGATAAGAAAAGATTTTATTTCAAAATACAGTTACCACTTACAGCTTTACAGCCTGAGGCACGTCAGATATTTAGGGTTCTCTTAAAGACAACTTTATGCTAACAAACTACTCTGATGAAGAAAGACCCAGAGGAAGGCAAAAGAAAGCTGGAAAAAGGAGGAAGCTGTGTACTGTTCCTGATCCAAACATGGAAGTTTGAGTAAAACTAAAAACTGAGATGTTTACTTATTTGTATGGATGTTTTTTCCCCCATTTTTTTTCCTGACGTTAACCAAAAGATAAATCCAACTGAAGAAGCATGAGGAAAATAATTGCTTCAAGTGTTTCTGAGAAGTTGAGAAATACCAAAAGACTCCATACAGTATTCTTAAAAATAAGCATTTTATCTAAAAAGAGAGCAGATAAAATATGCAGAAATTTGGACTACAGAGAGAAACTTTCCAATCTTCTATTTTAAGAAAAGGTTACGGGCATTACTTTTGCCAACACATGCCGCAGTCTAGGGACCATGATTTTAGTATCAAGGGAAATCAGTATGCTTCTCCTTGGCTCAGCTTCTGGGTGTGTGGCCATTAAGGAAAAGAACATCACTAAATTAACAGAGCCTACTCATGAGTCATTTCATTTGTCTCATGTATCTATGAATGTTTTTCCTGAGTGCTTTCAAAAGTGTGGGTGGACTGGAGTAGCATAAAAGTCTGTATTTTGCTGATGGGAACAGTAACATACATTTCACAAGGAGGCAGATTACCTTGTTAAGCTTAAAGAATCCACAATTCATGTCTAGTACATTACTGATTATCCAGTAAAAATGATTTAACCTTATGAAAGAGTCCAAGAGAATTTACTCTTTCAGAAGTATAAGATTCTGGATTTTTATTCATAAAAAAAGTCAACCAATCCCTGTCACCTAGAGGTCTTGAGATGCTGTGTCATAATTTTCCTATATCAATACTGCAGAGAAAACTCTGCAACCATTTTGCAAGTAAACGATAAACCATTCGGTCACATTATATGCTTTTTGCCCTTTTGAAATTGTACTATTAAGATAGGAGGACCACTTCTTCTGACCCACGGCTAGGTAAACAGCAGAACATTGGATGGGTCAGACAAAAAGCCTGTCTCTTATGATTCACTCTCCACTACTCCCACAGGGAGGGAAAACAAAACAAACAAACAATCACTTTTTTTCTGGGCCCAGAATTTTATTGTGGAACACATTTTACGCTCAATGACTATTTGCATCATTAGGAAGAAAGTAAGAGACTGATACTCAGGAGGGAAACAGTTTAGTTTAGTACTCCAGTAATCGTTAACAGAAGAACGCGGTACAAGACAGAAGAGAACTTTCAGTAAGAACTAACAAATTCAGTAAACAGGTCCTACCTACACATTTGGTCTGCACTGTAAGAGGCACTATTGCATGGTACTTGTGAACTTTATAACTGAAGATAAATTTATCTTACTTGCTAAAGACAGCCATTCTAGAAATCTTTGCGTATGGAAATTAGACCACAAAGAAAAACTGTCAAATCAATCTTTTAACAATATCTCCTCGAGAGTTCTGATCAATGCCTTTGTATGCTACTAAAGTATCCATATCTCCCTCCAAGCTAGAGGCAGGAATGATAAGCAGAGAGCCTCATCACACAAGCAAGATACTGGATAACATAACAGATGGGGTAGGAGGAACACTTTCTTCTTCCCCTTTCAACGTTTTGTTTGGATAGTGAAACAAAATTGTTCAAAAATAAAATTATACGTGCAATGATACACAAGGCACAGTTATCTAAGGAAATTTTTAAGATGTATTATCTTCAGTGTGAATTATCTTCAATAACTGTGTATGCCAAAAGTACCATATGAACCTCAAAAAGCCTGACTTTTAGGATGAGAGAGAAAGTCTTTGCTATGTGAAGGAAAAAGGTAGGAAAAAACGTCTTTAAGAAGCAGGAAAAGCTATTTAGGAAGCCAAAGGACTAAAAGGAAAGAAGAGTTCAACAAGTAAGACTTTTCTGTTACCTCTGTTATTACAATAAACGCTAAATTCTCTAGTTCCCTTCTACTATTTTTTTTTTCTTTTTTTGCCTCTTATGCCTGTGCTTACCTATTACAGTTACACCTACTTCTGTAGGGACTCTCTAGGGGACAGATGGACTGTAACTGTTGGTCTGTCAAGTGTCAAAATTAGTAAAAGAAACAAAATATGTGCATGCGCGTGTGCACGTTTGAAGTTCTTTGATCAACCAAGATTTTAAGGTAATTTAAAATCACAGCTACATGGGAAGTATATTAGCGGACAGGTGACAGATAAGTAGACATTACTAAGTCTACTTATTCCAGGTTTTCATTTTCCAAGTGAAATTCATCATTCTGTGTATCGTTTAAAGGCTCCAGTCAGGCTGGCCCTCTGGAAGGAATAATGCTTCAAATAATCCCTAAAACGTGTTTTCAAGTATTCGTTTCCCCCATGCTACAGAATAAGAAAAGCTACCAAAGTGCAGCAATAAGAATGGCAGACACATTAGACTCAGCGTATCATCATACCGAATCTCTCTACTGTTAGCTTTCTAGCACCAGGGAACGTTAGGTTAAAGGAGATCTTCAACACTTAGTGA